ATTGCTGATTTATATGTTTCATATTAACTACGGTCAAATTCACCACTGTTAATGTTATAATCGATTGTAAATAAAGCTCATCTGGAATTTTGTAAACCAGCATATCCCTCTGTTTTCCCTGACATCAGGTTGATAATCCAGGTTTGCAGGTTTTCTGAACTTACCATCAGGAGGATTCAACAATTTATGTGAAATAGGCACAGACATAACACATATGCAATAACTAAGATAACACAAAGTAATTAATAGATTATTGACTGTAAAAAGCTGAGAGAATTATCAAAGGGCTATAAACTCCATGGCCATTAAGAGATTTGCATTCTTAATTCAAAACTGCACACCCACCTCTTGTGTAATCCCCCGACCCTGTTCTAAAGACCATCTAAAAATGGTGGATTTTTGGCTTTGTCTTTGAACTAAGTCAAGGGAAGTGGTTCATTTTTTTTAAAAACACCTCAATCATTCAGCTTCTGCTGTCACCACCTGATGGAAATTTCATAGGTTCTAAAGAGGCATAGAAACCTTGAATATATTGATTTATTTTTAATGCAGTTGACACTCTGTTAACTGGATTAGGATCAGCCCGATTTCTTTGGTTCTCTGATCATTTCCCCTGGCTTTCTCACTCATCAGCCTTCCTCAACATGCTTTGCTTAGGGTTAAATGTTTTCATGAACGTGAAAATGGTTACTTCACTTACTAAATCTGAAAGTGTTCTCTTGCCGAATTAAAATCAATATCTTCAAATAGAATTATACTAATTAAGCTTACATTAACATATTTTTCTACCTGAATCTGGACAGAAATATTGTATCTTTTATATCTCATTGTCATTTCCTTTTGTTTATTCTTTAATAGTTTTCTGCATCTTTAACATCACAATGTTAAAATATCACTTTTTAATGGGCGCTCTTCTTCTGTTGTTGTACATTAAGCAAACATCATGACATAGTTAACTCAACCAAACTTATTTAAAACAATAGATGATTCACAAGACTTATTTTGATCATACTGATTAACAAATTTTCAGTGTAAAACAATACAGACCTTATTAAATCAGTTTATGAATAGTATAGCAAATCAAGAGCAACATAATTCATTTCTCTTGATACAGCAATTCATGAATGTTTTATATAATAGGAAGCAAGGTCTTATGGGCAGCTCATCTTTGAACAACTATGGTGAGTACCAACTGTATCTTTTAACACAATAAAAACAAGGCAACCGAAGTCCTGATTTTAACCATGAGCACTCACAACTCTATTTGAGCACAAAATTTCCTTCAATATAATTCATCTTCATTGAAAGTAACTGAAGACATATTGAAATAGAGTCATGCCAAACCAGATGGTAGAAGAAAACTGATACTATGAAAATGTTACTATTCCAAGTAACCGTTATCCCAACACATCTTATATAACATCTTATCCATAGCAACTGACCCTTTAGTTTTCAGTATATTTGTATTTTATTCCAGTCGTTTTAAGCACAATTTCCCCTAAATTCATTAGTTCTGAGGATGTTTAATTGCACAATAATATATCTTTTAAGCATAATTTACCAAAAATGTCTTACTAAAGAGAATAATGAACATTTCTTTTTGTAGCGCTTTCTACAAACAGCTATCTGAGAGACTGGCATATTTAAAGAATCTTTACATTAGGACATACATCCATAGATTCTTATGATGCTTCAGTCAATATAATATTGAAATTAAAAACATATCAACAAAGAGGTATACTTGCATTTAACAAATAATCTTGCTTAAAGGAGCAACGGACTGTAATGGCAATATCATAGAGCAGTATTTGAATAGCAGCTTATTTATGTTTCAGATGATTTTTATTTATTTAATGAAGTACTTAATTAACCTATGATAAACCTATGATAAAAATGAAATTTTTATTTGAATATTATGTTATTGATATACTTTCTTCACTAAAGCACAAACTATCACAGAGTCCAACGCTAGTCAAATCTTGTCCTCAGCAGTGTGCTTTATCCATCCAAAGTACCCATGCACACAAATGCAAATGCATGCATGTCTTCAACAAACACAGGCAAACATTCTCAGACCCTCAGACACACAGATACATATAGAATAGGTATTTCTTTTTTAACAAATTCAGAGTGTATGGAAATTTTTAAAAATCTGTATATGGTGTCTATATATTAGCAATATTCTATTAAGTAAATATAACACTTACTTATAAGTATTTGGTTATGCATAGGAGTAAATGGACTGAAGCCATGTGTGTTTTGCACATTTGTGGGTGTGTGTGTGGTAACTGAAACACAGTATACTTGTTTCTTTCCTCTAAACACAGTATCCTTGTTTCTTTCCATTTTATTTAATTAATGTATTTATTTATTTTGAGAGAGAGAATGTGAAAGGGGGAGAAGGGACCAAGGGAGGGGGAGAGAATCTTAAGCAGGATCCATTCTCAGTGTGGAGCCCAATGCGGGGCTTGATCTCATGACCCTGAAATCATAACCTGAGCCAAAATCAAGAGTCAAACACTTAACCGACTGAGCCACCCAGGAGATGCATATTTAAAATGAGAAATATAGGGGCACCTGGGTGGCTCAGTTGGTTAAACGTCTGCCTTTGGCTGAGGCCATGATCCTAGGGTTCTGGGATCGAGCCCCACTTTAGGCTCCCTGCTCAATGGGGAGTCTGCTTCTCCCTCTCCCCGCTGCTTGTGCTTTCTCTCTCACTATCTCTCTCTCTCTCTCTCAAATAAATAAATAAAATCTTTAAAAATATAAATAAATAAAATGAGAAATATTTTATTTCATATATAAAACTATCATGTTTATTGGGAAAATAGAACAAAATGAGCAACACCAATATTAACTAGTCATTTCCGTTTGTCCTAAGATTTTTTATGGCCACATGGCAATATTATTACAATATAAAAATGTACCAAATATATGGTATACCTTAAATTTATGCAATGTAATATGTCAGCTATATTTCAATAAAAAGCTTTTTTTCAATTAATTCTAAACTCTCCTACCAGAATAACAATGTATACAATATATGTATATTTTTTAAAAGATTTTATTTATTTATTTGACAGAGAGAGAGAGCACAAGCAGGGGGGGTGGTAGGCAGAGGCAGAGGGAGAAGCAGGCTCCCCACAGAGCAGGGGGAGCCTGATATGGGACTCGATCCCAGGACCCTGAGATCATGACCTGAGCCGAAGGTGGTCGCTTAACCAACTGAGCCACCCAGGCACCCAATATATGTATATTTTTATCCCAGAGCTTTGACTACTATATTAATTAACATCTTTATTTCTGAATATTTAATTCTATCTTGGTACTAAAAGGATTTGCCTATCTGATACTCATTTTAGCTCACATTATATTACTTTTTATCATCTCTAGATTTTTTTTTACTTCATTTAATTATATATAATTTATCTTATAATTATAATGCATATAATGTATGTATGTACGTATTCTTCATTTACCTATCTATACATATTCATTATTGTCTTCATAAATTATGATAGTTAGAAGTTAAGCAGTATGCTTGAGCTCTATTCTTGTCCAGTGTACTTATGTGTTGGAGCACACCAGGGAAAGAAAGAAGATTAGTATGCTGGCGGGTTCCTCTTAAAAACATGATAATGACAATATTCCTAGCATTCAAATGATATTAACTACTGAGAGTATGCTAGCATCTTTACAGTTGGATGTACCTTGTCTAAGATAATGGTAAGCAAACCTGGAATCTATGAACTTATGAAGTTAAAAAGTATTTTGTATGCTATGTCTTTATGGGAGTATAAGGGGTTATTTACAACAAAACATGGCTTTCTTCTGTGTGATGTGCCTGTGCCCACTACTTGATAATCCCACATGTTAATCTGATTCAGAATGAAATCTAACATAACTAGAAAGGACCTAGGAACCTTTGGAATATCCTGGATCTCTCTCTTCATCTGTGTCTCATGATTATGTATATATCTGAAATTATCAGTAAAACTTGAAACTCATTTCTTACTGAACATTTGGCTACTTTCAAAACGGGTTTATGTTCAGTCAACTTTTTGTTAATAAATTATTTGCCAATGGGACCATGAGCTCTCTGTGGGTTTTTAGATTATGCTGCTGAACATAATCCTATAATGCCTTACTGAGTATCTTCCATTCCCTCTTTGACATCACATAATATGATATGATTGTTCTGGACAGAAAAAAGAGAAGAAAGAGAGAATTCCCTTTTCCAAAAAAAAAAAAAGTTCTTCTTTTTTGTCTTTACTGTCAGTTAATTTATCTTACATAACACAATATTTAAGACTGAAGAATTTTCTCATTAGCAAAAAAAACTCAGTTCAAGACATAACAGGGATGCCTGGGTGGCTCAATTTGTTAAGCTACTGCCTTCGGCTCAGGTCATGATCCTGGAGTCCTGGGGTCAAGTCCTACATCGGGCTCCCTGCTCGGCAGGGAGTCTGCTTCTTCCTCTGACCCTCCTCCTTCTCATGTGCTCTCTCTCTCTCTCTCTCTCATTCTCTCTCTCTCAAATAAATAAATAAAATCTTTAAAAAAAAAGACATAACAATTCCCCCAATGTAACATTTAAAAACTTATGTAACAATAAAATTCAAATAAAGTATGGAAACTCTCAATAAATTATTTAACATCTTTGACAAAGAATTAAACCTAATATGTAAACCCAACAAATGATACACTTGAAAATCTCACTGAATTTTAACACTCTATATTTGTCTTAAGCAGAAAGTAATTGATACAGGGATATGCAAAGATAAAAAAGTTTTACTGGTATAAGTGATGGATAATCAAAATATTAAGGAAAACAGTGAATTTATCTTCAATTATTCAATTACATCATGTTAGAAAAAGCGAGGACATTTTAAAATGTTCTAAAACAACAATGTCTGATGTAGGAGAAGACACAGAAATAAAAACATTGCTTTCTTTTATTCTAGCACACATGCACACAAATTAGACAAAAATGCACTAACCTGTTTTAGGATCTACAGAGAAGTAGGGTTGTCCCTGGAGAATACTGTAAACCACGCGGGCACTGTTTCCATAGGTAGGGTCATCTGCATCAGTAGCTGTCACCTGTAGAACAGAGGTACCTGTGCATTCAGGAAAACAAATTTTAGTGTGCGGTAACATTTAGCATGTGACTTGTACACAGAACAAGGTTACGCTGACATACCTATGGAACACTATAGTAGATGTATCTTACAAAATATAATTCTTGGATTTATCTGTCAAACATAGCCCTTGTTTTTTCCCCTGACAACAACTGTACCAGATGAGAGGCCAAAAGAAAATATTTGATTTCCAATATTTTAATACCCTTTTTTTATGTGCCAATAACATTGTGAAAGGCCTCTTTGACACATAATCAGGGTTAGATTGGGTTGATGATCAAGAAAAAAGAATCAAACTGGTGTTCAACTGTGGGGTAAAGTTAAAGGCAGGGTGAGAACATGCATTGCATATTATATACCTATTCAGAAAATGGGAAGTTGGATGATTTGTGATTAGGGGTAATGTGGGTGAGTTGACATTAAATTATCAGTGGCATCAAAATAGTACATTCAAACAATTTTCCATCATTTATGCCATCTTTATTTCTTACATGGACTATTAATGAGTCTCCTAACTGGTCCCCAAGGCTCAGTTCTCATTCCTTTAGGTTCTTCTATATAGTGCCAACATAATTATCTTTTTACAATGGGTATCAGAATATGCCTATTACACTGGATTTTTGAAAATTAAAGTGTACTTTAAAGGAATTTATAAACTTTAAACTGTATTTTGAGGTAAAATTAGTGTCTGTATTCTTCTGATTTCTTTTATGTTTATATATTTCAAATATGATTTGCATAATTAGGTACATTTATACCATATTTCAGTTATTCCCAAATGAAAACTGATCTAGATATAACAAGACAACCATCTATTAAGGGCTATATAACTCCACTGTAAATTTAGTGGGTTAAGAGCTCTCATTTATTCATGAAATGTACTTGATGAATCATCTAATAGTGCATACTTGATATTTTATTCTGCCTAACTAGAATAATTCCACCTACTAATTCAGGTTATGTAGCAAACAAAAGTATTTCCACAATCAAGTAAGTCTGTATGAAATTCTGCATTCATTCTGGTACTTGACTATGGAAGCACTGACAATTTTCAGTTTTTAGTTTTAATAAGCACTTCAATTATTTAGGTATGGCACACTTATTAATGGTCTAATATCTGTTTAACTACAAAGATTTTACTTCCATGTTGAAATGCAGACGCAACTTGAAGCAAAGCTTGTTCTTTGTCTTCAAGGCATCCTAGAAAACTTAATAGAATAGTATACCTGACTATCCTTATTAGCAGATTATAAATGCACATGGACTTTTAATAATATGCTAAGATTCTGGCCTCTAAATAGTATTTTTACACTAAGATTATAAGCAGAAATATGATTAGCAATTATGCATACTCAGAAGGGGAGGATTGTCTAAAAGAAATATCTAATAATGAATAATAAAACACAATGGGAACACTAAATGCTGGCAAGAACACTGAGAAACTAGGTCACTTGTACACTGCAGGTGGAAACGTACACTTAGCAGATTCCTATAAAATCAAACACACATTTAGCGTACAACTCAGCAAATTGTAGTCTTGGGCATTAATGCAAAAGTAATGCAAACATATGTCCGCATAAAACCGTGTTTGCAAAAATTCATAAATATTCACAGCAGCATTATTTGTAGTAGCCCCAAACTAGAAATGACTCAGATGTACTTTACTGGGAAAATGGTTAAAAAGACTGTGGTAGTTGATAGTATGGAATACTACTCAGCAATAAAAATAACAGCCTTTTGATACATGCAGCAATTTGTATGAATCTTCAGGGAATTATACCCAGTGGAAAAAAAACAGTCCCGAAAGGTGATATATTCTATGATTCTATTTATTTAACATTCTTGAAATGATGACATTTTAGAAATTGAAAGCAGATTTGTGGTTGCCAGGTTGAAGGAAAGGAGGTAGAGTAAGGGGAGGCTGGTTATAAAAAAGCAACATGAAGTCCTCATGATGTTAGAACTGTTCAGTGTTTTGATTATGGTATGGGACACATGAACATACACCTGTGATAAATCACATAGAACTAAACACACACACACACACACACACACACACACACACACACACACACACAAGTAAAACTAGGGAAATCTAAATAAGATTGGTAGGGCGCCTGGGTGGCTCAGTTGGTTAAGCGACTGCCTTCGGCTCAGGTCATGATCCTGGAGTCCCGGGATCGAGTCCCGCATCGGGCTCCCCGCTCAGCGGGGAGTCTGCTTCTCCCTCTGACCCTCTTCCTTCTCGTGCTCTGTATCTCTCATTCTCTCTCTCTCTCTCAAATAAATAAATAAAATCTTAAAAATAAATAAATAAATAAATAAGATTGGTAGATTAAATAATTTTGATCCTACCTAAGATATTTTTTATAGTTTTGGCAAGATGATAATTATGTAAGATGTTACCATGGAGAAAAATGGGGTAAGGATACAAAGAATACCTCCATATCATTTCTCATGACTGCATGTGAATCTGTGATCTCAAAATTAAAAGTTTAATTAAAAAACAAAAACGTTTTCTTGCCTCACCGATATTCCATTCTGAGAGAGCCTTATGTAGGCTTGTGTGTGTGCCATGATTTTTCTCATTATATAATGCACTACACTTTCTGGCTTGATTAAATTTTGCAGAGTTAGTTAAATTACACTCCTGGGTATAATTATTGTTATGTTTATAAAACAAAGTTCCAAGGACTTTTTCTCTGATGTCAAAACACTTGTTCCATGGCTTGCATTCATCTCTCCAACCTGTTCAGAGAATATCAGTAGATAGACATCTACAAATAAAAGTTGGTTTAGGAGGCATTTTTGTTGATTGCACATTGAAAGAAAAATTAAATCTGTAGTAGGTGCCCAGACAAAGCTCTAAAAAGTGTAAGAAGTCCATATTGTGGCTAAATACACAATATGGACCTATACCAATAAAAGGTTAGGTTCTGTATTTGATTCTAATATAGTTAGTACTTTTAAATGAAAATCTATGTGTTCTTTACATTCAAAATTTAAATTATAAACAGTCCTTTATAATACTTTATAAAGTGTTATAAAATTATATCAGTCAAATCTTTGATCTGATTGGAAAAATGCTGATCGTACTGGGCTTATACAAGGATTACTGAGATTCACGAAAGAAAGAACAGTATAGATATAAAGCAATAACATAATTGTCATCTTTTAAGAAGCCACACTTGTAAAATCGTCAGATTTTAAAATTTTCTCTGGCTTTGTGATAGTTATTTAAGTTTAAATTATTTGTAACATCTTAAAAATAGTCCCCAACCAACCATTCCATAGAGAAATCTGAGAAAGACAAGGAGTGCAAGATCACACCTCCTTTGTGGTAATAGGCTGGATCACCACATGATAGATAGATAGATAGATAGATAAATAAAAATAAATTGTTCTGCTTGGCTTAAAGTGTCTATAAAGGTCCAGCCTTGTTAAGTGAAAGCTGAAAGGCATGAATGGAGTGACAAGTGAAATGAAGAACAACAAGAAAAGGAAAAAAAGAAAAGAAAAAGCAGCCTCTTGATGTTGACTAAATGATGGTTTAAAGTAGCACAGAGAAGTGAGCAGAAAAGGGATCCAGGAGAGAAAAAGGAAATATATTAACTCTCTACCCTGGTCAAAATATATGGTCACTAACAGTTACACGTCTCTCTATAGTAGGTCTCACAAGTATTTGGCAATTCTATTTGTTTGTGTGAAGTAAGGTAGAGCAAATATCTCTATCAGTCTACTTTGTTGGCATCTGAAGGGCTCAGGTCACAGCTTGGAGTACACAGATGGCTGGTTGAAGGGAGCATGCACAAAAGTACAGCATAGCCTAACGGAAAGTCCCAGCCTGTCCCTTGAACACGGTAGGGTGAAAATAAAGAGCAGGGACAGCAAATAAGTCCCCTGGCCAACTGTTTCAGGATTTCTTACCCAGGAGAATTGGTAAGGGGGTTTCAGGCCCAAAGAAAAAATATACACATATCTTATGTTCTTATTGACTTAAAGCCTCGATGGCAACATTTTAAGAAACATTGGTGCTTTTAGAAGTTCTTTTACATTAGAAAAAAAAGGTTTTTTTCCCCATTAAAAATAGATAATAAGAAAATAGAACTCTTCAGGGTATGTGTTAGGGTATGAATTGTTTCCCCTCAAAGTTCATGTGTTGAAGATCTAGACTCCGGTACATCAAGGTGATCTTATTTGGAAATAGGATCATTGTAGATGTAATTAATTAAGATAAGGTCAAACTGGAGTAGTGTGGGCCCCTACTCTAACATGCCTGGTATCCTTATAAAAATAGGAAATTTGGAAACACACATACACACACACACAGAATACTTTATGAGTAGATGAAGACAGAGATCAGAGAATTTCCTCTACAAACCAGGGAAAGTCAAAGTTGGCATTTTTAAGTAAATTAATGAAATTAATGAAATATATTATTTATGTTAATGAAGGATTTCTATTCCTGGTTAAATGTTTAACAGAAAAAAATCAGTATCTACTCTGAGAAAGGTATCCCACATTAGACAATTCTGTTCCTTTATTCGTGCTATGTGCCCTAATTATATACATAGTAGAAAAGGAAAAATTATTATTCTTTATAATGCTAGATTTTCAAATAAAAATATCTGAAGTAATGCCAAGAAGTCCATTATTCTACTAGAATATTCAAATAATCTATTTTTTTCTAGAAATTATTATATACGTTTGGTCAATAGATACTAAACCAGTAGTAGCCCCTTCTCTATATAACTTCTATTTTTTTTTTAAGATTTTATTTGTTTATTTGACAGAGAGAGAGAGAGGCAGGAGAGAGGGAACACAAGCAGGGGGAGTGGGAGAGGGAGAAGCAGGCTTCCCGCTGAGCAGGGAGCCCAATGCAGGGCTCGATCCCAGGACCCTCGACCATGATCTGAGCTGAAGGCAGACGCCCAACGACTGAGCCACCCAGGCGCCCTATAACTAGCTTCTAATCAGAG